GCGGGAGCCGGACATCACCATAAATTAGTACACCATGGAAAGGTCTTACACTCCGTTCCACTCCGCTCCAGCCCAATTATATTAGTTCCCACAAAATAGTCATTTTTCTAAAGCTTTGGTCTACACTAATACCGCCTTTGTGTAATCTTCCTCGTCTATGATATTAATTCATTTTAATCGACCAATCGGAGTACTGCACTTTGTATTTTTGGTAATTTGATAGATTCGGAGTACTATTCCAGTATTCCGTAAAACTTGTGAAACTGAAACCCCTTTAAATAGTAACGCTAATACTGTTATAAACAACATTGCATACCGATTCAGTACAATATAAAGATCAAATATCTACAAATAACTTCCATTTGTTAAATTCTAACATGTTTGCTAAACCCAAAAAAGCATTATTTTATCAAACCAAAGATGTTATACATAGTTATTCTAATTTTAAGAATGTTGAATCCATAAGTATCGGAGAGTCTGAACGGTTTTATAAGGCAACGTTTAAGAGTTATAATATAACTGCGATCTTAAAACCTATTACTATACCTCAACAATTTTCCTTAAAAGAACTTGTTAAAGAAGTAAGATAAATTGTGAGATAATTACAAAATCAAGTTGAATGTTTTTCTAATATTATTACTACTTAAATGTTAAAGGTTGACCGGTACCGAAATATTAAACGTCATGATAATATTTTAAGAATGTTTGGATTAACTAAGCCGGGTACGTACGTAGACATTTGTGAAAATTCTGGTAATCACTATTTAGTTTTAATTTTTAATTATAATTTAATTAAGATTCAAACTCATATATGTTGATTCTCGATTATGCCAACGATGGAACTCTTCGTCAATATTTGGAAATTAATTTTATGTTGATGAGATGGAAAGATAAATTATATCTTGCCAAGCAGATTGCAAACGGGATTAATCATTTACATTCCAATCATATTATACATGGACATTTGGTGATAAATAATACTTATTAAATTAAGCATTTATATTTATTATTTTTTATTTATTTACAGTATTTATGATTTTAAAATTTTCATAGAATTCCGAAAATATTCTTGTTCATCAAGGAAGCATTAAACTATGTTTTTCATCCAAAATTTTTATGAAGCAAAATCAATGTCAACATTTCCTTTCTTTTGTTCAATACTTTGATCCTCAATATTTGCAAAATCCGCAAACCTTTGATTTAAACCAAAGCTCTGATATATACAGCGTTGGTGTACTTTTATGGGAGGTTTCTAGCGGTACTATTCCATTTGAGTCAGATTCTCCATTTGGTTACAATTGTTTACACGATATTATAAACGGAAAGAGAGAAACAGAAATTCCTGGAACTCCTCGAGAATATTCCTTGATTTACAAAGGTATTTACCTGAATCGATTTAATTGCCTATAATTTTTTTTCATATTTTTATTAGAATACATTATTTCAAATTTATTTATTAGACTGTTGGAACCATCATGCAAATAAACGTCCAAGTATTCGACAAGTTATTTCACGTCTAAATAAGATAAACGAAATAATGATCGAAGAATTAGATTATATTCATAAAGAACAAAACAAAGATCAATCTGATCAAGATTCAATTAATAAATCTGACGATTGGCATATAGTTATAGGAAAATTACTTCAATACTTTATATCTCAATTTAATGAAACCACTAATTCTACTCAAATAACCAATAATTTAATTAATTATTTTGAAGCTAATCAATTAGATCCTTTTTTAATATTTAATCAACTTGCTTATCAAGATCATAATTTTAGTATGATCGGTTATTTTCATGAGCATGGAATCGGTACTGATGTTGATTATCAAAAAGCTTTCTGGATGTATAAATTATCTTCGGAAAGCACTGTTAATCTAGATGATTCGTCTTTAATTGGTTATTTGAATCTTAACAATTATATCATTGGAAAAATTTCTCTTGGATTATTATATTCAACTGGAAAAGGTGTTAATATGGATAAACATTTTGCTTTTAAATTATTTTTAGAATCTGCAGAGATTGGTTCTATCATAGGACAATATTATGTTGGTTCATGTTATTTATGTAACGATTATGGTATTAAAAAGGATGAAATAAAATCCTTTGAATGGTACTCGAAATCTGCTGAAAATGGAAATTCTGAGGCTCAGATTGAAGTTGCAAAATGTTATATAAATGGTACTGGTACATCTATTGATAAGAAAAAAGCTTTTAAATTATATTTAAAATCCGCTGAAAATGGAAATACTGATGCAATATATGAATTAGCTAATTGTTTTATGAATGGTATCGGTACAAATTTAGATATGAAAAAAGCTTTTGAATTATATCTTGAATCTTCTGAAAATGGAAATTCTTTGGCTCAATTTGAATTAGCAAACTGCTATAAAAATGGTACCGGTGTTGATATGGATAAAAATAAAGCTTTTGATTTATACTTTAAACCTGCTGATAATGGAAATGCTGATGCTATATATGAATTAGCTAATTGTTATGCGAGCGGTACTGGTACTGACAAAAATTATGAAAGAGCTTTTGAATGGTATATGAAGTCTGCTGAATTGAATTATTCTAAAGGAATTAATGCCGTCGGAATTTGCTATGAATACGGCCTAGGCATTACTAAAAATAGGGCGAAGGCATTTGAATGGTATTCGAAATATGCAGAAAAGAAGGTAATCATATTGCTTAATTTGTTTTTAATTAAAAGCATCTTAAAAGTAATTTTAAATCTATTTATTGCTGTATTGTAGAAAACGGATGTTGTCATTTCCAATAAATATTTATTAGAACTGAAATAACTTTTTAATAAATCTTGGAATAAATTCTTTCCAACAATTAACTTTTTTGAAATTGACATATTTTTGTAAAATACTAGCTGAATCAATTAATAAGTAATGTGAGTAATGGATACTAATTCTAGTAAATGTATTATTACTACACAATATTGAATTTAATTAGAAAAAACAAGCTTTAAGATAAATATACACATTTTTAATATGCATATCTTTATTTAAATAATATCATTTGGACAATTGAACTTTTGTATTAAATTTAAATTATATATTAACAAAATAAATTTATATCTTTAAAGCGATTAACCTATGTACTGTATAAAATAAATAATAAATTTTTAATTATAAGTGCTGTAAGTTAGTAATACTTGCTAACAGAAACTTTAATATAATCAATTTATTGGCTTAGTAAAGTTACTAATTAACTTTAATAATAAAGTGAAATAAAATAATTTCATAAAACTAATACAGTATTTTTGTATGCTACTAATTTTATTGATGTATATAATGTGGAATGTTTTGACAAAACAATTGGTTATTTATCCACTTTTAAGCATTGCTTTAATCTCATTTGCGTCATCCAACCTTTTCATGCATCCATTCCGCTCGATGAATTTCTTAAGAACATCCAGAGTAGACCTTTTTGTGGATCATCATTCATTAGGGTGATAAGGACTAAGTAATCAAAACTATGTCAGGTGTATTAGTAATTTTAATATGATAAGATTTTATCAGTGAAATTAAAAATGATTGACTAAAATATCATTTTACTTCAATTAATTATAAAGAAAAATACAAAATTCTAAAAGATTCCTCTGATTATTGCGCTTCTTTTTCTAATTTCTTTTGAGTGAAATCTCTTCATAAGAACTATCTCTAAAAAGTTACGCTCGATTTTTCGCAAAAGCTTTAGTGAATTTTTTTGTTTGTTCTTATTGTACGAATTTTTTTTAATAAATTTATATATTTTATTAGTTGAAGACCTAAAATTTACATACGGTATTAATATAAAATATTCGAACGTAACTTTGTTTTTTGACACTTTGTAGACATTTTGTGAAAATTTCCAAGCAATTCCTTGTCTTTTTAGTGAGTTGTATCATTTTGAAATTTTTAATAAATATAAAAATATTACTGTTATATCGATATGTATCAAATGATTGTTTTCCTTCGTATAATATGAAAATCTGCAATATATTAAATTCTATAGTTACCTTACATAGTTTTGATTATTTAGTCCATTTATCACCCTAATCATTCATGCATCATTTGGCGAATTCAATATGGCAATTCGGAGTTCCAGGAGTAAATTCAGGCCATAATCCCTTACAAATTTTATTACAGACTAAAATTAAATTCATAACCATCACAAGGTCTTTGCCCAATTGACATCTCTTACATGATAAGCCAAAACCATAAATATCAGCGGCTGACATAAACTTTAACCTGATAAAACTTCTAAAGCATTATAAGGCATGACACCATAAATACCACCTAAATCATTTTCGTTATACTTTTTAGACAACTCTAGATCTGTGATATAAGATTGCATATTTTGCTGATGCCTTTATCTTGCAGATTATTGCCATTGTGAAGGTCTGAAAAATCATATTATATATTTTTAAATATTTTTAATTTAGTTTGCCAGGTAAGATTACCATCAAGCATTTATTTGTTTCTATATTTCTGCCGATCCATATATTTTAAGCTCGTACTGTATAAGTACATATAATCAGTTAAATATGCGTTTAATAAACTGTACAATGAACAATAATTATCTTATTTTTAAAAAATTATAGGGTTTTAATTGCAACAGCATTAGATAGTTCACGGGCTTTCTCATAGAAATAGTCATTACCATCATCAGAACAGCAATATCATCGCCATCATTATTATTGTCGTCAAGAATATTATTGCTACTATCATCATCACTAACATTGTATTGCTATCAGTTTTTTTCGATTTCTTCTGTTTTTCGAGTACTATCCAACCAGGTTGCAGAATATGCAGACCAAATCTACCTTTTACCATGGCAGCTATAGAGCTTTATATTGCTTACAATTTTAATTTAATCTATCAAACCAAGTACCAATTACTACCCTCAGTTGATGGGCAAGGAGAGGTTGTTCAA